ATTATTATTATTATTATTATTATTAGTTGTAATGGAAATTCGTCGGTTGTTTGAAAGCCTTTTTTTATATATATATATATCAAGCACCACAGAGGAGGGGGTGGGAAGGGGAAAACAGTATGATTTTAAACTAAAGCATAAGATTAATATTATTAATATAAAGACAAAGTAATAATAATAATGATGATAATAATAATAATAATAAGCTACATTTTTGTCATTTTGAAGAGAACCATGCTTTGGGAAACACAGCAGGACAGTGTCTGATTGTAAATTTTTTTTTTATAAATAAAAGCACAATTACTTTTAAATAAATTTCTACCTTTTTTTTTTTTTCATACATGTTGAGTTTGTGCATGTCCAGGATATATTTAGATGGGGACATAAAAGACAGGCTGAGAATGATAAGGCTGCTGAGCCCCTACTGAAAACTGTTCCTTTAGTCAGTGACTGGTTGTAAGTATTTTGGTGGGTTTGTTACAGTGAAATGCCCGTTGCTTTCCAAACATCATCCTTATTTTTCCTGCCCAAAAGCTTCTTACATGTTTTCCTAAGTGTTACTGACCAATGTTTGCTCCATCCAGGTGGGAATAACTAACAAATACAAGGAAAATACAGAGTTGTTGTTAGGAACCATTGGCAGCTTTGAACACTTTGTGTAAATAAAGGGCTCTCTTTTTTTTTTTTTATATATGATGAAAATAAGTGTAGTTCCTCTGTATCACCCTCTTCAGTTGAAGACAATAAAAGACCTTTTGTTTTAAACCAGTCTCTCTGCCCTACTTCAAGGTTGCATTTTTCAAACAGAACAAGTGTTTCTGTCTCCTCCTCAGTGCTGTGTAAAATATCACTAAAAACGTTCAGAATCAGGAGGGAGGAAACAAAGGAGGGAAGGAATCATTTCTCTTCACTCTTAGGTCCAGTCTTCCTAATTTATATATATATATATATGTATATATATTTCATTGTAATATTGTTGTTATTTTTAATTGCAGTCCTTCCCTCATTACATTTCTGAGCTGTAGCTGAGCATCTTGGGGATGTTGGAATGAATCCAGAGAAGGCCATGGAGATGCTCCAGGAGCTGGAGCCCCTCTGCTCTGGAGCCAGGCTGGGAGAGCTGGGAGTGCTCACCTGGACAAGAGAAGGCTCCAGGGACACCTCAGAGCCCCTTCCAGGGCCCAAAGGGGCTCCAGGAGAGCTGGAGAGGGACCTGGGACAAGGGATGGAGGGACAGGACAAGGAAGAATTGCTTTAAAAGGAAGGAAAGGTTTAGGTGGGATATTGGGAAGAAATTCTTCCCTGTGAGGGTGGGGAGGCCCTGGCACAGGTTGCCCAGAGAAGCTGTGGCTGCCCCATCCCTGGAAGTGTCCAAGGCCAGGTTGGAGCAACCTGGACTAGTGGAAGGTGTCCCTGCCCATGGCAGGGGGTGGGACTGGATGATCTTTCAGGTCCCTTCCAACCCAAACCATTCCAGAATTCCATGCTCATGTCCCAGGACCATCCTCCTGTTCACAGTCTTGCTGAAACCTTGGCAGTGCCCCAGTGGGAAGAGCCTAGGGGGTGCTCCCCCAGTGCCAGGGTGTAACTGGGACCCTCTTCACTGTGAGAGGGCCCTGGGACAGCAGGAGTTGCTGGGTGGGGACACACAAGGTGCTGCCAACAGGAGCCCCAAAACCTGGGTGTTTTGCTTCATTGATAATCAATCTCAGCAACAGAATCATGTTCAAAAACCATTTGAATGTGGCAGTCAAGGACAAGATTTAACAGGGAACAGGATGATGCTTGTTTGACTTGATGATCACGAAGGTGTTTTCCAACCTGGATGATTCTATGATTCTACATTTCAGAAATGTCTGATTTCTTTAGGTATTTACAGCTCATTTCCCAGGAAGTGTCTCACACCAGGCCCAGCTCTCCTTTGCCGGGCAGGGCTTTGGGAGCCCGGACTGAGGCACACAGGGGTGGTGCAGGGCATGTACCCTCTGGGAACAGGCACTGCCCGGCTGGGGGAGTGGGAGAATTCACTCATCCAGTGAGTATTCCAGCATCCCTGGGCAGCCCTGCTCTCTCCTGCTCCATCCTGAGCCTGGCTGCCAGCAGATGGCACGAGGGGTCCGTGTGCCTTGGGCTCTGGCAGCACCTGGGAATCCTGTGGATACCCAGCATCACTCCAGACAATGCCACTCCTCGCTGCTGCCTCCCCCCGTGCTGACATCCAGCACTCTGAGCTCCCCCCCGCTGTTGGTGTCTCTACAACAGTGGTTTTGTTAGAAAAACTATCTGTATTTTGTAAACCATCGCCCCATGGCCACACAGCAGGAGCTTTGCAAGCATACCCATAAGATAAAGTTAATTTTTGGCTTGCAGGAGCAGAATCTGAGTCACAGCAAAAGCAAATATCAAAGAGAGACTTCCTTCATTAATATTATTCCAGGTAATTTGAATTTCTTTCTTCCATCCCTTCCTCCCAATTGAATTTACACTACTGAATATTGTTTGTTTTGCACAGGGAACACAAGTCTCCTTTGACCTTTCAGAGCACTGGCAAGGGTGTGAGCTGCAGCACTGTATTAAATTCATTCTCTATGATTAATAGCCCTCCTCTGGTGTTTATTACAGTAAATGATAGGCAGCATAAAAAAGAACAAATCCAATAATGAAGAAACACACTCCTCTCTCAGAATACTTTCCAAGTTACTGGGAAATGGCACTAAATCCGTGTAACTGGGCCCTTGGAAGCTCTTGCAGTCTGTTTACAGACATCCAGGACAAGAACTGACATTTATGAAATGATTTCCTCATCCCCAGTCCAAGCCCAGAGCCACCTGTCCCTGGCTCTGGTGCCATTCACCTTGGCAGCTCCACAAGAGCTGCTGGAGACTGCTCAGGTTTGTTCCTCTCTCCAGCACAGACTCTGCACAGGAGCAGGATGATATTTCCTGTAATTACTCACTGACAAATGCCCCGTTTGGTATTTTTTTTTATAATTACCAGTGCGAGAGAGGGACTGGCACATCCTGGGAGTAAAACACACCAAGACACCCCTCAGAGCTGCCACGAGCTTGCTTTGGTACCAACAGCTCCACCAGGGGCTACTGGGAGGGATGGATGGATATTCCCTGTCTGCTTTCTCTCTCCTGATTGCAACTTGTGAGAATTAGTTTAAAAACACCCTCAGTTTTGAAATCCATTTATAAACCTGCCCAACCTTAGTGCTGGTTTTAATCCTCAACATGACCAAGCAGTTTGGGAGCCTCGAGGGGGGCAGGAGAGGAAGGGCTTCAAAAACATTTAAGCAGCGAGAT